GGGGAGCCCCGGGCGGCTAGCGGCGCCCTTCCCCCCGCCGGCCCTCCGCGAGAAGGTGACCTCTCGAGGTAGCCCCAGTCCGGGGACTCGGAGAACCACCCCTGCCCCTTCCCGCCGTCCCCAGCCCCTACCACTGCCCTGTGCTAGGAGGAATTCCTGCCGCCCCTTCCCCCTCTCCCTATTTCCTCTCAGCTTGGGGAGAAGTCCCTGCCGCCCCTTTACTTCCTCCCCTCTCTGCTGAGCAGACCTGGCGAACCCCTCTTCGGCCCCAGCGTCCAGGGAATAGGTGATCGCTGTCAGAGCGGGGCGCGAGCCCCCCCCCTCCCCCCCCGGTGCTTTGTGGGGACTGCCCAGGTCCGGACTGGGTGACAGTGTGCTTTCTCCCCTCGCTCCTACAGTTCTCCTCCAACTGTGCTCTAGCCCCTGCGGGGGTGGGCAGGGGAGGGTTAACGGAGTGTCATTACCCCACTTTACCCTTTTTGGGAACGTGGTTCGAAGTGTGTCGTGACAATGGGCAGTATGGAATAGTCCTTCCCAGACCTTGGGAAGGAGCCCCTGCCAGCCTTGCACGCACACTTTGTCCTGGAATCATGGGGCAACGGAGCAGGTGGTTTTGGGAACTGCAAACTTGCCCACCCAACTTGCTTCTCCCAGCCACCGAAGGGGCCCTTTTCTGCTCTTCCCTTGTCCCTTCCCTCAACCAGAGCGTCCCCTTGGAGATCAGGCAGAAGGAAGGAAAGGGGTAGGGGTCCCTGCCGCCACCCAGAGCTCCTCAGACCCTGGCACAAAGGCCTTGGCTCTGGGCCTCCCAGTGAGGGGGAGGGGGAGGAGTGGCTGCCTGGCCACAGTGTGACCTTCAGAGGCCCCCAGAGAAGGGCACCTGGCCCCTCCCTGCCTAGAACTGGCCCTCCGGTGCCCCCTGGCCTTGGTGAGGGTATGAAGTTTCTGTCCACTTTCTTTATTGGGGCACAGGAAGAGTGGGGGGCACAGGGAGAATGTTGGCAGGGGAAGAGGGTGTCCTGGGGATGGGTGAGGGGCTGAGGTGCAGAATCCAGAGGGTTTCTGAGGGAGCTGCAGTGGGAGGTCATCCACCTGGGAGCTGGGGCACTGTGATCTTCCCTCCAGAGGGGCTTCCTCTGATCTCCGCCCAGGGGCAAGGCTGGGGGACCTGGAGGGGGTGCACTGAGCGAGTGTGGGAAAAGAGCAGACCGAAGACTGGAGTTGCTTGGGCTAGAGTGTGGCTCTGCTGCTGGGGTGTGCTGTGCAAGAGGGGCAGGTGGGTAGGGCTCTGGGGAGAGCCAGAGACCCCAGGGAGAGCTAGGGAATGCCTGGACGAAGCCTTGGCCTGCTGGGGCTGTCAGGTCCACATGGCTGCCTGTTGACCTTCACAGCTTCTGGGGAGGGGGAAGGAAAGATTTGATAGGGGTGGGAGAAGCCTCAAGCCTAGGTCGTGCAGGGAGCCCCCTAGGGGCTGGGCAGTGCTAAGGCTTTCAGAAAAGGCTTCCCTGGTTGCATTTGAGGAAGGTGGCCAGGTGAGCTGGGCTTGGGACCCCTTGCTTTGGGGAGAGAAGAAACCAGGGGACAAGGTGGGAGTGGGAGGCTGGTGGAGAAATATATGCAGACTCCAGGGCGCTTTTTCCGGGAGGGAAATGGTGCTTTCCCTTCTGCCAGGTTTCCTCTTTAGTTTTTACCCTCTGAACCACCTGTGGGCATGCGGAGTAATCCTGAGGACTGAAGAGTTTGCATGGGGGAGGGTAGCTGGTGCCCTTCGGTCCTCTGCACCCCCTCCCTCTCCAACACCAGCTCACCCTGGTATTTGTCATGTCAGCAGGAGAAGGTCACCATGTTGTTTTTCTCGCCCCTGGTCCTTCCTTCCTGCCCCAGTCCAAATTTGTCCTCCCATTTGACCTTAATGCTTGCCCATGACGTTGGACCAGGGAATTGGGGGACAGTGAGTGAAGAGAGGGAATGTGGGTACTGGACAGGGTACCTGGACAGGGCAGCATTTTGGTGCCTTCCTTCTGCATTCTGAGCTCCCACCCTCAACATCTGGTTAGTCTTTAACTTCCTCGAGTTCAGAATTGGAGCGGTCCAGGGGTGGTGGGAATGCCCTGTGCCCGCAGGGACCCCTGGCTGTGCCCCAGGGGAAACCAGAGGCTGTGGCCTGGGAGGGGGGAAAAGGCTGGGCTTTGCACCCCTACCCCTGCCCATGCCCTCTCTTTGTTCTCTCTTCAGTGGTCCCAGGCCGTGCCCATGGAAGGAGAGCCCAAAGCCCATGAAGGTGAGTCCCCCTGACTCTGGGATGGAATTCCTGTCCCCATAAGATGGGCGGGGAGGCCTAACCTGCCTTTTCAGGTCTGGGATCCGGAGGAGAAGGGTGCAGGAATCTGGGGATCAACAAAGGAAGATGGGCACCCTGAGGTTAATCCTTCAGATTCTTGAGGACTTTTTCTTCTTTGTTTAGGCCTTTGCTAGAAACGGGACTTGTTGCTGTTTTTGTGAAGTTGTGTCTGATGAGGGTCTGGGAGCACAGAGAAGGCTGTGTTCCGGGATCCCCATGTTGGGGATATCCCTGTGCCCTCCTGCTCCGGGGGAAGAATGGATGTTCTGTGTACTGCTTACGCAGCCCCGTTATGACCTGCCTGTGGGGCTGTGACTTTTTCTGTGTGGGCTGGAGGTGCAGGGGGCCCGGCCTAATGGGATCCCTCCCACCGGGCCCTAGTTTGCATTCGTTGGGGGATAGAAAAAGCCCTGGTGGACTAGGTTTGGGTGCTGTGAACTTCCCTCCCGGGCCAGCAGAGGGCTGGCTGTAGCTCCCATGCGCCCCGCCCCCTGCCCAACCCGGAGTCTGCCCGTTATGACCTGCCTGTGGGGCTGTTACTTTTTCTGTATGGGCTGGAGGTGCAGGGGGCCCGGCCTAATGGGATCCCTCCCACCCGGCCCTAGTTTGCATTCGTTGGGGGATAGAAAAAGCCCTGGTGGACTAGGTTTGGGTGCTGTGAACTTCCCTCCCGGGCCAGCAGAGGGCTGGCTGTAGCTCCCATGCGCCCCGCCCCCTGCCCAACCCGGAGTCTGCTGCCTTTTGTTCGGCTGTGGTTTGGAGTAAGGGGATCCTCCCATTTCTCTGGGGACGCCCTGACTCTCTCCACCACTGAATGTGAGCTCTGCTCCAGCCTGATCCACTCCCTCTGCTCCCCACCTCTCTCTGGGGACGAAAGGCCCTGGAGTCTTGCTGCAGGCCAGTTTTCCCAACCCAGATCCGGTGTGGCCAGGGTAGAGGCTGGGGTGGTGATGTCCAGCCGGTTCTACCTCCTCCTTCCCTACCCCAGGAGCCCTTTCCTTGGCCCAGGGCCTAGGTTCCCAGCCACTCCCAGACCTGTGCCATTGACAGACGCTCCGGCCTCAGTGTGCCACCAGCCCCGTTGGCTTCCCAGTGGTCTTTGTGGTCTGGGAGAGGCAAGGCAAACGGTCTTTGTTTGCTGTGGAAAAGGTTGTCTACGATAAATAAGGAAAACCACAACAACCTGCTGTTGGAGTGTCTGCGTGTATACCCTGTGCAGGAGGGTGACAGCTCTGTTTGGAGATGGGCGGAGGGGCGTGAAGGGTGCTGGGGACATTGCCCACCCCGCCACTTCCTGTGGTTCTTGCAGCTTCCCGGGAGAAACCTTACTGAAGGGCTTTTTACTCTCAGCTACCAACTGCACTGTTCAGGCTGACTTCTGCTGTCCCCTCCTGGGTGGGGCTGCAAGCCTGGGCCACCTCTGTCCTAACTATGATGAAGGTTCAGTTGAAAAATTCTTGATTAGTCATCTTCAATATAGACTTGGCTTTAAAACATCACTTTTTTGGACCTTTGGCCTCATTTATTCTTTTTGACAACACTTTACCTTAACCCTTTGGGGGCAGAGCAGGCTTCTGTGCCTGTCATCTGGGTGAGAGAAACAAGGAGAAGGACTGGCTTGGGTTCCTCACTGTCGCCTTTCCGTTTCCACATCTGTGGCCTTCTCCCCATCTTCTCCTCAACTCTCCCAATTCTCCCCACCTCACCGTTTGTATATATACCCTCGAGCGCTGGAAAACCAAGCTTGGAGGGAGGAGCATATGGGAGGCCCAGCTCTAATCTTGAGTCTGCGTGTTGGGCCTGGGGTAAACATGGACGGTGCCTTGGAGAAGCTGCAAACTCTGCTCCTCGGGCTGGGAAAGGACTCTTGTTCTGAGGGCTAGGAATAGAAGACAGAACCCCCCTATTTCAGCCTGTTTCAGTGTCTTAGAGATCAGCTCAGCCCACTTACACAGCGGAGCAGTCAGAGGCCCAGAGAGGGCAGTGACTGGCCCAAGGTCATTCAAGTCCTAGCCAGGGCCTGGGCCTCCTCCGTGGCTGGGTGTTATTTCTTGGCTTCCCTGTAGGGGGACTCATTTCAGGGACAGGATTGCTATGTGGTGGGGAGGGGGTGAGATGGGAGTGGCAGGCTGAGCCACACTGTGGAGCAGGATGCCGGAGTCCTGCATGTATTTATTCTCAAGGGCCCCGCCCCTGTGGCCCAGAATTACCCCTTCATGCTCTGATGCACCCCAGGCTCTGCGGCCAGCCTGGGAAACTGTCTTTACCCTGGGCTCCCTCCAGATCAGTTTCTAGAAATGCTTCGTGGCTGCAGTGGCAGCACTGTTTTTTCCATGATGCAAGCAGTTTGCCCTCTTGGGCGGGGTTATCGGTGGTGGGCAGGG